GATTGAGAACTTGAACTTCGTCGTCGATAATTACCACCTGATCGTCGATAATCGGGACTACGTGATCGACTTCTATAAGAAAAAAGAAAAATCTATAAAAAATTATTTTTTGTAAATGTTTTTCTTTTTTTTTCCAAAGAGAAACAAAACAAATATTCATTACGGGAAATTGATTCGTTCACCTTTATCGACATTTTTAATAAAATGTATGTACTCTAATAACATACCTTCATCTTTACTGTTTCTCTGCCAAAGAGTACGACTAAGTAAATATGATCGATCCATCCAATAGGTAAGGAATATACAGGTGCACACAAATAGAGTACAAAGAGAAGTATACACAAAGAAAACAAGATTCGAGCACAAAAGCCAAATGATTTCATTTTCTTAATACTGCGGCTTCTGATGTAGCTCCAACCAAATCATTCATTTTAACCATTAATCATCAACAGCTAGAAATATAATCAAATTATATATCGAGAGAATATAAAACATATCGAACACTTTATGTACATCTCGTGGAATTCTCTTTCATTAAGTTTTAATAATAATAAAGAAAGAACAAAGTTCATATTTTAATAGATATCTAAGTTTGTCTTTTTTTTCGCAATTAAATTACCTTGAATAACGACGTTTACTATATCGATCATTACCGCGTCGATTATTATATGAATCACGATAAATACGACGATGTGAAGGCGATGGCGAACCTAGGAAAAAAAGAAAAACAAGTTTTTGTTTTTTCGAAAAAGTCACTCTATCCAATTTACGATAGAGCAATGCATGAAGTGGTCGCCCACCATAATTTCTTGGACGAGCCCAACTTAAACCAATTCTTGAACCATCCACAACTCTATCAAAAAAAAAAAATAGTAATTATATGTAATATAGGCAAGCGATAATTGGTCGCATGTTTGATAGAAACGCGGTTCCTATTTCAATTCTCACTAGAACCTATCAGATCCAAAGTTTCCGAATCCGATGTATCGAACGTTTTTGGGACCCAATCAAACTGTACTTTGATGCATTCAATGAAATTTTCTAATCAGAACAAGATACTGGCCTTACAGATACGAAATGTTTTTTTCTCCGATTTTTTTGTACTTGTTGACTAGTGCACCTTACGGATTTCTCAGATGAGCCGTTTGAGAAATATGTCGGATAGAGTGTATCGAGTCAAGGACCAACCCGACTGGTTCTACTTCCCACAAATCTCACTTTACAGACATTTACTGCAATCACATACAGCACCGCATGAGGATAATAGTGGCATGTGAAAAATGACGATTTACTTTATGGAATCGATTCTTAGATATGATCTCGTTGGTAAAAAGTAATTGAAGGTTGACATTTACATTTTGAAGTTATTAGAATGTTACGAAAAGACGAAAACTCCAAAACAAAGAAAAATTTTAGAGGATTATGGGAAATTTTTAAGCAACTATTACTTACTCTTATGCAAGACTTCATACTCAATTATAATAGGTCACTCAAGATTTGTATTTATACTCATATTTAATATTTTTTTATTCTTGAATACATTGCTAGTTATTTTCTGAATCTCACTGAGTTATTTCTTCATAATACTTAAGGAAATATTTTGTGAGACAATTCTATTATTCAACATTGCGAGCAATTGTCATAGACTTATTTATTACATAAATTAAAGAAAAAAATATATTATACTTACTTTCCATCAAGTTCTTTTAATGCTCGTTCACCATCAGCTCGATGACAAAAATTAATAAATGCAAAACAAGGTGGATTTGAAGCAACCCAAACTTCATTTAATGGTCCATAAGGTCGAAAAAGTTTTTCTATTTCACGTCGACTTACACCTATGGCTAAATCAGATAAATGTAAACGATAGCCACCTTCACCATTCTAAAAATAATAATATACTTGTTTGTTTTTTTTTCCTAATGAAAAACAAAACACATACCCAATTTCGTGCTTTTGCTGCTCGACCTGAACTTGTTGATGATAGTGATCCTGAACGTGAACGTGAACGCGAGCGTGAAGGTGATTTCGAATATGAACGATCTCGACTACGACCCATTATTATTTTTTTTTTTTAAGAAAGAACAAACAAATCAAATAATTAATCTAGAATAGCCAGCAGAGACTAGTCAAACTTGATACAATACACAAGAACAGTCAAAGAAAAAAATTTCTTTTTTTTTCATAAGAGTAAACAAAAAAAAGTAGATGATGAAATTGATTAGTCCTGTATACACATTTCAGAAAAAAACAGAAATTCAATTCAATCAGATCGATCGTCACTTTCTGTATATCTTAACAAAAAAATCAAAAAAAAATTCAATTACTTAGAAAATAAAATTCAAATAAATTTTTACCGATGAACAACATTAACTGCTTGCTGTTGAGGTGATCGATCTTTTGATGATGGTCGATTACGACGTGTTCTTTAAAGTAATATTCAAAATTTCAATATAATAACAAATCCTTCTATTTTACTTTGGTGATGATGATCTTGATTTTGGACGATTATCACGTTTATTATATTGAACTGGACTACGTGATCGAGAATATCGTCGACGTCGATCATTATTTCTATTTTAATTCAAAAACACATTAAAAATCTTTTTACAAAAAGAAAAAAACAAAATTTATATTTTAAATCTTACCTATCATCTTGTCGTGGTGAATATCGACGACGGTTTCTAGATGAATCATAATCTCCACCACGAGAATATCGATCACTACCACCATTGTTATATGAACCACCACCGCCACCACCACCACCACCACCACCACGACGACCACCAATAGTACGTTTACGAGCAAATGAAATACCAACACGTGAATTATCAATCATTCTATATAAAACAAAAAATTACTATATTTGTTTTGGAACTAAAAGAAAAACAAATCAACTTACTTTCCATCTAATGCTTGAATAGCATCGTCAGCATCGGCACGATGTTTAAAATTTACAAATGCAAAACAAGGTGGATTTGTTGCCATCCAAACCTAAAGAATTTAAAGCAATACTAGGTCTATTCTATTGTTTATTTTCTGATGAATATACTTCATTTATTGTACCAAATTTTGAAAATATTTTTTCAATATCACGTCGAGATGTACGTGGGTTCAATGGTGATATATGTAAACGATAACCTGAGTCACCATCCCATTTTGGTGCTTGAGCTGCACGACCACTATTTAAAAAAAATTCATTGAAGAATAAAAAAAAGAAAAAATTCATACGATGATGTTGATGATAGTGAACGTGATCGTGATTTAGATTTTGAACGTGATCTTGAACCTGCTGCTACACCTTGACTTCGATTTCGACTTTGACTCATCCTTTCTTTTTTTTCTTATTATTTAACGAAACTTTGATCTGAAAAACATGAAAGATATGTAACAAATATCACACAAGTAATTTTTCCAAGTGTTATTTATACGATGAAGATCTTTTGTTTTCATACTTATGATAAAAATAATTCACCAGCAAGAATAATCATCGTTTCAAAATTGAATAACAATCAAGAGAAAATTGAATGGAGGCTATCCTCATTGTAAAACATGGATTTTGTATCTGATTGGTTCATAATTAATGTTTAAGCATTGAGTCTATTGCCTTTGGTTCATTGGTTCACTTCTAAAGACCACACATATTGTACATGTCAGTATGCAACGTCACGGGTGACATCTTTCGCATTAACTTGCTATGTATGAAATGATTTGGATTGATATAAGATTAATGCTTGAACTTCTTATGAAGCTTTTCTTCATCATATTTTGAACAATACTTGATTTGCAACTTGCATGTTTAAAATTTTATACAAAATGTTAACAGCAAATTGCTGTTGAATAATGTCGACAATTTTTCTTTTGTAGTTCTATCTTTCATTTTTTTTATTAGTACTTCTCCTTAAGAAACCCTTCATATGAAGCTTTCTGTTCTAATTTAAGCCCCCCCCCCCCCCCCCCCCCCCCCCCCCCCCCCCCCCCCCCCCCCCCCCCCCACCCCCCCCCCCCCCCCCCCAACGCCCCACCCGTCCGCGCGCACGCCNTATCAGTATCACTTACCACCTATTCGACGTATACCACCATTATTATGGACACGTATAAGAAATGATGTACCGAATTATTTAGTTGAACGAGAAGCGGATGGTGTTAGCGTTGTTAGTTGGTATCATCGACAATTTGCTGAAGGTAAAATTGATATTTTTCAGAAGTTTATTTCAAATATTCTAACATATGTATTGATATGTTGAACTTTGAGATGTACGTGATCAGTTTTGGTTTTGATCTTGGAACAGAAACTAAAGATTATAGTCAAATATTTTATGATTTTAACTCCTTAAGGATAGAGTTACTTCTAAGCGAACAAAGCAACGCTTCAAAACTCTGATGAGATGTAGGCGTTCTATTTAGTCACACCTACATCGAAAGTAGAGCCTGCCAGATTCAAAATTTGTGAACTTAGACTTAATCTATGGTAACTTGTGCACCTTACAGACGACTAAATCCCATCGGATCCGGGACCAACCCGATAGGCTCTACTCATATCCTCAAAAAAAAACAGATAATAGTGTAGAACATTAATGATCTTTCTGATACCGAAGATCATACGAGCATCATAAGAGGTATACACAATTTAATTATGAGTTGATTTGAAACTGGACGTATAATATACGTCGCCCATTCTCAAGGGATTCAGCGTATTATCTTATAATTAAACAATAACTTGAAAGAGCGATGATCCAAAAGCATATTAGTCGTCAATTAAACCAAAAAATAAGTATTGACGAATTTTTTCTAATGTGATACAAATAAATTCTCGAATAATTTTTTCTAGATCAGGTTTACTAAGACTATAGCCGGTACCAAAAACACTTGGTCCTACATAATCTTCAGTCGAACTAATTTTTAATTGCGACTTTATTGACTTAAGAAAATATTTCTTTATAGTTTCTCGTGAACGTTATTTGGCAAATATAGATGAACGTCGAATATATCATTCTAATATGTCAGATTATTATTTGGGTATATGGGCTGGTTGTCCAAAACCTTTTCAATATACCGATAACCAAAGACGTATGTTTAACATAGCATCAGCCGAAAGTGAAGCTGATCGTAAAGTTCCAGCTCAACCACTTATATTTACAACTAGTAATGCTACAGCAACTGTTTCTACAACACCAACTCTTCGCTATAATTTACGTAAATTAAGTGAATTACCATATCAATTAATACGTTCACAACGTGAAGAGGATTTATATAAGAATGTTTTATTTAATTATGATTTTATGCATGCAAAATTATCATGTATGCCATTAAATTTATGTATATTTGATTATGAAAGTGCATTAGAATTTGTTTTTGACAAAGAAGTAAGAATTAAAAAAAGAAACGAAAAATTATTGAATTATGAATTAAACATTTTTGTTTCTTAATTTCTTTAGGTTAAATTAGTAAGTGATGCACTTCGTTTATCAAGTTCAGTTTTAGCTTCTGATCCAAATAATTTACCATGTCAGATAATTGGTCGTCTACTTCCGTTTTATAAAACATGTCATAGAATAGCTTCACTTATTGATCAATGTGAAAGTACTGGTTTACAAGTAATGGGTCTTGTACCAGCAATTAATACATTAGCATCACCTGGTGGTCCACTTGTTTATTCATTAGAAGCTCATGCATTTGCTGTTTATGGTCTTGAAGTTATCTCGTCTGGACAATCTCTTCTTACTGTATCAAATAGATTTATTGTTTTTGATTTATCAAGTGGTGATATTGTACGTATTATTGATCCTAAAATTGAAGGTATTATGACATATTTAGCTATTGCACCTGATCAACGTTATTGTGTAACAACGACAATAAGTAATCAATATATTATATGTAATTTATTAACTGGAGACTTTATTTTACGTGATTATAATCCACCGACAAATAATCAACAACAAACAGGTGGAAATACAGCTAAAGCTAAAGCAACTAGTGGACAACCAGTTGATCCATTATTAGGTGCATCTGCAAGTAATACTCATTTTGCATTATGGACTACAAAAATGTATCAAGTGTTTACACGTAAAGGTACGTTTTAGTTTTTTGATATAAGTTATTTTTTTATAATCAGATTCAAGTCAAATTTTGAAAGACATGGAATAAATTAATCGCTCGACAATAAATGACAATGATTTTCTCTTAATTTGGATAAAAAAAGATTATTTTAATTCAATAAAAACTAGAATTATTTTTGCGATTTATTTTTTCTGTCAATCTTCTCAGAGTGAAACATTTTTGAAACGATGTTGGATTTTTGTATTTCAATTATTGAACAATGCTGAGATTCGTTGTTTTGTGGAACTCACATATATTTTCGAAGAAAATAGTAAGAGCATTGAATAGCATTATAGACAAGACTTAGACTATTTTTGAACATTCCAAAAGCCTTTCTCTAAATTAGAGTAGATGGAATACATTAGCGAATGCCCTACATAGTGACAAGTTCAAGGACGAAGGGTAATGATACACTGATGGATCACAGTTTCCTACGCTCAGTAAAAAAAAGCGCGAACTGGTCAAGTTATAATTTTGATTCAGGAATGTTCATGGTAGTGCTACCGCTGCTGAGGTCGCGACGGTGTCAGTAACGCTTTTTTCTAAAACCACCGCGGTGAACTTTTTAGTGGCGAGAAATATCTCTGCTTTGGAGTATTTCTATAGTTATCGAGATATATATTAGTATGTTGAAATCTATTGCAGATTTAATCGTAGCCATGTACAGCACATTTATTTGCAACTTAAATCAATATTTAGAAAAATAATAAGATTAAATCAAGAAAAAAAGTGGAATAAAAAATGAAAAACAACAAATAGATAGCATATATAAAGCAAACAAAAAAAAAATAGACTACTAAACAAAACAAAAGAAAACAAATTAAACAGATTGTTTCTTTAATGATCGATTATATTTGAAAAATAACTATAGTCTACTAGAGATTTTTCTCTTTGTATATTTTATATAAGCATAATCAAGGTAAGGAACACGTATGAGTTCAACATTTTAGTCCCAAAAAGGTTGCACTGTCAAGTACTTTTCTCCATGTCTTTGATCTGTTCATTCAAAGATTATTATCTTTCAAAACGAGATGATTTTTTTTTCTTCAAGGTGAATTACTTACAACTGAATCAACACGTTTTCCGATCATTCAAATTGAAGTATTAGATGGTCCACAAGTAGAACTTGTTTGTCGTTCTGAAGATGTAAAAGAAGATCAAGATGTAGCTCGTGATCGTTTAATAATAGATTATTGTTTTGTTACAAATAATGATACAAACAATAATAATGGTTCTTCACGTTGTTTAGCTGGTGGAAGAAAAAATATACATAGTGCACTCGTATTAACACGTGATAAACGACGTATGTATACATGTTGTGAAATAAATGATTATAATATTGAAATGTATCTTAATGAACCACATCCGGTTCATTATGCTACTCAACGTATATGGGCATTTGATCATCAATTATATGAAAATAAAGAGCGGTAAATTTTATTTCAAAGAATTATTTTTATAATAATTCTTTTCTGTTTTCTTTTTCTAGCATATTCACATTAATATTAAGTGCCGATGAAAATTATCTTATGGCAGTTACATTCAAAGGTTTTAAAATCTTTTCATTTCGATCATATTTATGGAAAACATGTTTATTACCTGGTAGTGTACGAAATATAATGAGTGGTTATAAACGTTTAACATATACCGCAGCATTTTCTCAGGATAATAGGTATATTTTATAATACTATCAATTATTTAGTAAATTTATCTTACGGAACTCACATATATTTTCGAAGAAAATACTGAGTGTAAGTTTTAGTGTCGAAGTTTGTCGGCTCTTTGCCACCTCCCCCCTCCCTAAGACGCGCATAAAAAAAATATTTCTCTTTAAAGTTTAGAACTAAAAGAGGTAGTATTTGCTAACAATTGATCTCACGGGAAAAAGAACTATCGTCTTTTAAGGATTCTATACCATGTATTTTGTAGCAGTATAACGAATTTGACAAGAACATTTGAGTGGCCATATTTCAGTCCCAACAGGGCTGCGCTAACAAACGTTTTCTTATGTTTTTTTTTCTCGCTTAGATATTTGATAGCATGTATTAAATCAACTGTTTATGTATTTGAAATCCAATGGGGTGACTTAGTAGCTTCATTTGATTCACATTTTGGTCGTATACTTGTTGTAAAATGTTTATCAGCTGGTAGCACTGGAAATAACTATGTTATAACGACTGGTATCGATAAAACAACAAAAGTATGGGATTTACAAAATGCAAAAGAAAAATCTATATCAATAGCACAATTAGATAAATGTATTGAAATGATGCATATATCAACCGAAACAAAATTAATAATGGCACAATCACGTACACAATTATGTTTATTTGATATGAGAAGTGGAATAATGACAGGACAATTATCTAGTAATCCACATGGATCAATTTATCAATGTTAAAAATAAAATTCTTTTTTTTAAATTAAAATTATGATTTATTTTTTATATTTTAGGTACAGCTTTGTGTGCAAATGGTTTATTTGCAGCATCAGCTGAATCAGGTAATTTTGTAATATATGATATTGAAGAACGAAAAACATCATTTATAACACCATTAAAAAGTGTTTTTCAACTTCTTCTTCATTCAGCTGAAACAATGGTAAGAAAAATAGTTTTCATTTTGTTCTATACAAAATATTTTCTTTTGTTGTTTGATTTAGATTTTAGTTTTAACTACTGAACTAGTTGCACTCACAACTGGTTCAAGTGCATTGATTGATACACCTGTGAATACTAGTCCAAATGGTCAAACTGTTCGAGCTATTTCATATGGAATACCTGATGGTGATATTATTTATGAAATCCTAGCAAATATGAAACGTTCAAATCAACCAAAAAAAGTTATATGTACAGCAGATGATACATATTTTGTATTTATTGAAGAGAAAAAAAATGCTGAGCTACTTGCATTATATGATCCGATGACTGGTGAACATGTACATAATGTTAAATTAAGTTATCCAGCTTATAAAGAGATTACTTTAATGGTTACAATACCACAACAACCTTATCTTATTGGTTTAATTGATTCGGAGAAAGGCATTGTTATGAATGTTAGAGATAAAAGGGTAAATATTTTAATTAAATTATTAATAATGAAGAGTTTTTAATCTTCTTAGATTACTTGATGAACAAGACTGGTAGCATTTTGTTTTTTTTAAATCTTATTCAAAAAAGCTTGTTAGCATAGGCTCCTTTGAGACTAAAATGTGGAATTTACATTTGTTCTTCGGTCTCAATCCACTAATAGAAAATACGTAATGTGAAACATGTTTCGCAGACTTCAGCTGTTTTATAAGATAATCGATCGCCAGAGAAGGAATCCGTCTTATTGTCTATTTTTTACTAGCACTCTAGGTTTTTTTTTTGTTTTTCTCGTAGCTTTTCATTTGTACATTGTGTTTTTGTGGAACTCACGTATATTTTCAAAGAAAATAATTCCTTGCAGACTCTAGCTACTAACTGGCGGGAAGATCATAGTAATGAAAAGAGAGGGTGAAGGCAAAAGTTGAACATGATTTGATATGTTTCTCTAGCAACAAGAGAAAGCGGGTAAATATTACTAGTACTCAGATCATTCTGACTCGTTAGATCCTAGCTAGTATAAATATTGCGGGTTAGGGCTTTCAATATAGCGACAAGATGTCATTGCAGTTGTCAATCAAGATGGTGTTTTTTCCTTTTTACCTAGCAGAGTCCAAATAGGACCGACATAGAAAAGTATGAACTAGATCAATTCTAAGTTTAGGCAAAGCTCAACAGTATATTTCTAAGTTCGTCAAAAGAAAGCTTGCTGGTAGATTAAATCCATGTGTGTTAACAAGCTAATCGTTATGATAGCTGAATCGACGAAACAAAGAGTAAAAAATCATGTGTCGCTTTCTATGACATGCATTGTAGATTTATTCAATTAAAAGAAAAGTACTTATACATTGAAGATGTATCTGATAATACAAATAAGTTTTTTTCAACATTACGACGTTAAATAAATAAAATAAGTTTATAGAAAAACAATTATAAATGCGAACATTTTTAATGAAGTAAAATTTTAGAGAGCGTGTATCAATTATAAGAATCGTTATAATTCTGATTTATTCATCTATTTGGTATTTCTTTAATAAATTGTTTTAAACCCTCTGACAATATGTCATGAATTTATAACAGTCACAGCTTATGAGTTCCATACTTTGGTCGCTCAAGGGGCTGCATTAGCAATTTTTTTTAACTTAACATTGTTATTATTATTCTAACCATTGAAGAAGAAGAAAATTTTTCATACAACTATTACTAGCTACAGCTCTGGACAGAAGGTCGGCCTGACTCGGAGTTCATCCTGTTTAATCAGTTAAGCTCCCCATGCATGCTGACTAACCGCATACTAGCCACAAGGACTTTTTGTGTATGTCAACAACATAGTCAGTGTGCTATCGGATGGGTGATCCAAAACAACTAGCTATTAGTGACTTGCCCAAAGTCATTCTGTGTCTGATGGCGTCGAGGTTCGAATACAGTATCTTATGAATATATGTCGAATATCTTAACCATTCGTTCATCGTGGCTCTAACCATTGGTTTAACTGGTAAATTAGCCTACTGTCCATTTCCATTATTTGTACGGCAGATCTCAATGCACTATTACATATTTCGATAAGCTTACAAATACTTATATTGATTATTTACTGAAACTATAACTTGATCAATTCATAATTTTTATGCTAACACTATAACGACGGTGCTACATTAATGCAAGATTATCCATTATTCTTGACATCTTGAATATACATTTTTATTTGTGCAAAAATAAAAAAACTACACTATTTAGAACATTCAAAGTTCTGTTGTTAGTGCTGTTCAGTGTCTTTTTCCGTTACTAAGAAACTCTGAGAAAGATGTCTGACGCCAGTTATACTCGATGCCTAACATCTGTACCAGAGAAGAGAAGAAAAAATCATTCATAAATATTCGACATTTCGTTTTTAAGCGTATTGATCTTTTGCAACAATTTGTATGAGTTAGACTTCTCTCCCGTCCAAAAAAGTCGTTTTTCGTCAATCATCGAAAGTAAGATAAATACATGAAAAGATAGTCTGTGATTTGATCTTTCATAAATGACACCATTTTTTGATGAGCATCTCACTTTTTCCAAAAGTTTTTGAAGATTTCTGTCATCTCATATCTGAAAAATGTGCTGCTTTCAGAAAAAAAGCAGACAATCTCTTTCGATTGCGTATCTCAGAATTCTCGAAGGATCATCATTGTAGCCAATAGATTCTTTTTTTGAATTAAGCTTCGTTACTATTATGTAAAAGAGTACTTTTATAATTAGAGCGCCAACGTTTGTGAATTTTTAGACATTGAACTTTTCATTCCTTTCTTTTCCTTGAAAACTAAAAATTAAAAAAAGGGCTTTGTCATGCCCTGCATCTTGATATGCGCTTTCAAACCAACAAAAAGGAATTAAGTCTCTAAAATGAAAGCCCAATCTTTATTGAAAATAACGAAATCAAATTAATCAGAAAACAAACGTAGTGGGATAGATTATATGAAGCATTGCAAAGAATATAGCGTTCAATTTTTTGTTTTTAGGCATGAAAACAAAAACATGTTTCAACAGATTTATTAATTAAATCCTTGAAAAAATTCATACTCTAATATTTATGGTACATTGATATATCAAAAGACTGAATGAAAACCTAATTTGAATATATTCATAAGAGAAAACACATCTTTCTAAAATAAACTCATCGGTAGGTAAAGTCTAATATGAGTGATTAATATAGCCAAATTTTTGTCTTTTTCAGACAAGAATAGAAGAAAATAATTATTGTAAATAGATATAATTAGTCTTGGTTTAAGGGTTACTGTCTTCCCTTTCGAGATGCGAAAAATTCAGATCATTTAGTTTTTGATCTTTTCCGACCAATAGATAGTCTGAAGTTTTCTCTAATTGATGAACTTATTTCGAGAATTGAAAGTCAAAGTTTTCATGTTAAACAAATGTGAAAACAAAGAAAATAATATCCTAAAGAATAGAAAAGTTTTAATTTGCTTTTCACCGTTCTTGAAATCAATTTTTTTTTCATAGAAGATTCGAAGTTTATAGAGCTGAAACCTTATCTGTGACGCATGTTTTACTTTTCATTGCAAAATATTGTACTAGTAAATTTTGGTAGATCTTGCGAAAAAAAAAATGGCGCCAAGTAGAAAGACATAGTTTTTCATAGGACTTCGAACAATTTGGCTTTTCTGATCGAGCAATACAAGATCGTTTTATTCAGAAAAAAAAACACACGTAGTCTAATTTGGTTCGTAGATGCTACAGAGAAAGCTTCAGCTCTATTGGCCTAGCAGGATGAAGAAAATGGAAGTCTTCAATTGATTTCAGCTATTACATTCTCTATGTCGTCTGGATAAAATGACCTGAGAACTATGAGTCTAGCAGAATTTTTTTAGTTAAGGTGTTCTTCAGAACCTCTCGAAAGGTCACAATCAATGTAAAGAGATAAATTTTATTTATCTAAATTAGAACTATCTTTCATTTTCTTTTTTCTTCTATCCGATTAGAGAATTAACTTTTTTTAATTTTATTCTAAATAATAGGTTCATTTCACAATACCAAAATGGGGTGGTCAAATATCATCCGACGGTAAATATGGTTTATATGCTCCAACACGTGGTGGTCTTGAAATATTTGATTTTCGAAATGGAAAAGTAGTTCGAACATTAATACCTAAAGTAGCTGAAGGTGTATTTGATGTGATGGCATTTTTTACTCCGACAAATGAACATGTTATATATTATCATAAAGGTAAACGAACCATACGTGTATTTCGTACAGAAGATGGTCTTCAATTAGCTGATATGAAATGTCCAGCTAAAGTTCGACAAGCAACTGCAACAAATGATGGACGAATATTAGTTGTTGGATATGAAGATGGAGCTATCCAAGTGTTTTTAATTGTTGATCATTCCAATGAATCAGTTGTTGATTATTTACGAAATTGGAGAATACGCCAACTTCAATCAATAGCAGAACCTGAACGACAAGAAACTGCTGAGAAACAATCTGAATGAGCAATAGCATCAATTTTTTATCAAGATTTCTATTATATTTATCATATGTTTCTTCTTCTATAGTGTATCGTTTCTGATGCATTTTAATACACTTCAAAGTATCCCCATTTCCTGTCTTTTTTGACCACTTCTGATTTTCGACAAGATTGTAACCTATTAGGCTGAAATATTTACTATTGATAGAGCATAAAAAATATGCATACATTTGTTTGCAGAAAATCCTAGTTTTTATGAGACCATATCATGATGTATTATGACTTCTGTCAAATTTTGTTCGAGTGAACTGACAGATATTTTTTGAAGATACTTAAAACTATGCTTCTAAATCCGAATACAAAAGATCCGGAATGAAAGCAAATGATTCTACCTATCCGGAATACTTCCAATCATTCGTGATAAAAACTTCAGTCTCATCAGTTGTATTCTTTCCGAGAACTTGAAGAAGTAAAACAAGACTGAAGAAAAGGGCATGCTTTTCATGGAATTGTCGTATTTATTTTTGTCGATAATAATCTCAACAATTTCACATCGGAGATGAAAAGAAAAAACATGTTTGAAGTTGCTTTGTTGAATGTAACCTATAATGAATGTAGCAAATGTTTCTTGAATGTTAACAGAACATATATTTTTAATAATAGAAAAAAAAATGCACATTTGGTTTTCTGAAAATAAAACATCCACGTGTCTATGTCTAATGTTGCAAAAAAAATCATTACATGCTCTATTTAAGCACAGTTTAAAACCTACTATATGTCAGTATATGAGCAAAATCAGCGAAAATGTGACATAACCATTTTCGATTTGAATTTAATCCTTCATAAAAGAGTTTAGAAGTTTCGAGAAATAATAATTCGAGTTTGATACCTTATTCGATTTTTTTTTTCAACAGATATTCATGGGTAAAAATCAATGAAATAACGTACCATCCAACCTAATCATGTCATTTGAAGACTCAAACATCCAAGACTTATTCAAATAAAAAATGCATTTTAAAAGCGAATACGATCTCAAAACATAGTGAATTCAACAAGTTACTTGTTCAGATACCTCTCTATACCCATTCTGTAGACTTCAATCCTTTTTTCTCTCCAGTGAATACAAAAAGTTCGAAAATTTTCAACTCTTACTATGTATCATACTGCATAATTATAAAAGATGATATATCTCAATTTATGTCAATGCATGACATGAATTCAACAGTTGTAAAACCTAAAGATCCAAGAAAACTTTGAAAGGCATACATGGATGCGACGAGCAATCGAAAAGTTGAAATACATAGGTTTTTGTTCGTTTTGTTACTATTTCTAGCCACTTGATAGTTAACCGAGTCAGAGCACTTGCAAACTATACCCTATCGGATACTTATTTTCGACTTATCGAACATGTTTCGACGCTTCGGCATCCATCGAAAAAATACAACTGACTTTTTGGGCGCATTTCAACCATTCGAAACCTATGCAAGTTATCACTACCCCAAGAACAAAAGCATATCGCAAGAATGCGCTTCAATGCTTCGGTAGAAACAAACCTAGCACAAAAACAGGTTTGACTGCTATGCCTAATTTTAATTACGTGAAGCTTAAAAAAAAAAACGCTTTTCAAAATGTTTTTTGCTTGTATTCAACGGTCTTCGCTGTATTATATATATTAGGTGTATATTTTCCCTTAGTTTTTTTAGTTTTCTAAACAATATTTAAGATCAACTGATGAAAATTAAGATCGAAATCCATCAACGTCCTTGACAAAAATACAGTCATAACGAATTTTTGGGTTTTGAACTTTTGAAAAAATGACTAAATGTTGATTTTATACTGTAGAACACAAAATAAGTTTGTTGTATACCATTGGGAATTCAAAAAAAAACTATTCCTTTGACTCGAAACATGCAGCAGTTTTTTTTCTAAAGTGAAAAACCATTATTTTTAATTTATCAAAATTAGTAGCTAATATTTAAATAACAAACGCAAAAGTTAAAATATTAGCTTTTTATCAATTGAAAAGATAATTTTCAAAAAAGAATGATAGACCATATTTAGTTTAGATGTTCCACGAAACTGAATAGTTAGCATTGATGTTTGAAGCTCGCCCTTCACATGTATTCAACAGTTCAATAATGAGGCATCTATTAAACTAAATTCTTTTCATTTTGATCGAACTTCCATCCCCTCGGAAGCAATCATTCCTATGGTTGGAAACCTTACGTCAAAATGACTGAATGACAAGTTGTCAACCTATCGGAAAGTGATGATCCGAGCGCTTGATATAGAATTTCACTTTGTGCATCTGTGACGTAAAACGTTTTTCTTTGTAGTTCATTCGAAAGATTTTTAAACTATAGAAAAACATAAAACTTTCCTAGTGTCTGTGAATGAAATTCAAGGAGAAAAATGCTTGACTATCATTAAGATCTTATTTTACTTACATTCGATTCGAATAACATGAATAATTCCATTTACTTCAGTAAATACATCATGACTTTTAATATGTTATTCGTATCTACAGACAGTCAATACAAGAGAAGATAATATTTTTATACGAAAAAATTGAATAGGACATATTCACAGGATCTCAGCCACGTGTACAAAATTAATCTCCGATTTTGTTGAAGTTTTCAGAGTTTGTAGAGCTTTGAATTCTAAGAACTTTGCCAAAAGTACCCAAAATATTCTAATCAGCAGTAATCAAAACTCTCTAAAAAAGGTTTTTTAACACTATTTTCGTTAATGGTTTTTGGTTGTTTTGCCCATTACAGCGAGGTTTAAAATAAAATCCAAGATCATATTCGGGTTCCTTGTGACAAGGACGTTGGTTGATGTAGATGCAGCAATGGAATATACGCACACAGGCTCGCACGCATACCCACAGTTCACATCTATCTATCAGACAGTCAAAATATCGAATTCAGCAATGAAGTTTATTTGAAGGATTAGATGCTCTCCACTAATGAACTATCAATTCGTCTGCTCTACCGTACCAATAAGACAGGTACGTGCTCAGTTGATGTTATTACGTCACTACTTCGCCGCTGTTGTTAATACTGAATACACTGACACTTTAAAATTTATTTTTGTATTTTCAAGTCTAGTGCCAAAGTGATACCAAGCAACTTTAATCGATTCCTAGAAGAATCTTTGAATCGTATAGCCTAATATCAATCATCATTTTGTTAGTCTTTATTTTATTAAAGAAAATCATGCTTGTCGACACAAAATCTTTCGACCTACATTCTCGATCAAATTAATCACAGCTTTTCGATATAGTGTTCCTCCACTTAACGTATTCATATAGAATGGCATTACAGAAGCGAAATTAGAGAGAAACACAAAAATACTGAAAAGAAATGCTTCAATGGTATTTTGCAACGGTGTCTTGATTCTTTCTGCAGTAATTGTTGTATAAACTTTTTGTATGATTAATGGGAGTATGAAAAGAACAATGAGAACCACTTGAACCAAGAGCATTTTTAATAGCTGACGATCAATTTTCTTGTGCTGGTTATTTTATCCAACCGAGATAGTTGCAATTTATGCAACGGTGTTAGTAATGTGATTTACACTGACCATCTGTACACGAAAGTGTGCTCGACGTACATTGGATATAATCATTAAACTAAATATGATCATGAATAGTAATGGAACTAGAATAGCTCCCAGAATATAGGTCAGATCAGATAGAAGACGACAAATTGCTGTGCTACCAGAGTAGGGATGCACCGGTTCCGGTTTTAACCGATACCGGTTCCGGTTCTAGAACCGATACCGGTTCCGGTTCTAGAACCGAAACCGGTGGAACCGATTGGAACCGAAACCGGAACCGATTAGAACCGATAAGAACCGAAACCGGAACCGACAGGAACCGGTCAGAACTGATTGGAACTGAGACCGGAATCGATCAGAACTAGGGATGTAACGGTGACGATAACCGGAGGTACAGTTATTGGTTGAAATCGGTTGTTAAGAAAAACAGCATTTTTTAAGAAAATAACGATATTTTATAAAGGTTGACGAGAGAAAATCGAGGTTGCAGAATTCGAATCTGAAGTCAGTTTTTCAAAATATCCAATTGAATTTTTTCGAGAAAAGAGAAGGCTTTTTAGAAAAATAATGATATTTTATAAAGGTTGACGAAAGTAATCTGGGTCGGAGAATCCGAATCTGAAGTCAGTCTTTTCAAAATTTCAAAATGAATTTTTTCGTGAAGAGAAAAGTATTTTTTTAGAAAAATAACGATGTTTTATAAAGGTTGATGAAAGTAAATCGAGGCCGGAGAATCCGAATCTGAAGTCAGTTTTTCAAAATTTTGAAATGAATTTTTTGTGAAAAGAAAAGGCTTTTTAGAAAAATAACGATGTTTTATAAAGGTTGACGTAAGTAAATCTGGGTCGGAGAATCCGAATCTGACATCAAATCCTTGAGATTTTCAATTTTCTCTTTCATAGACTAAACCGCTCCTTGAAAGTCATCTTTTTTTTCTGCAAAACTTTATCCTTGAAAAATATTCTATGTGAAAAACTAAAACTCAAAATTGTCAAAAGCCGACTTCAGATTCGGATTCTCCGACCCCGATTTACTTTCATCAACCTCTATAAAACATCGTTATTTTTCTAAAAAAATACTTTTCTCTTCACGATAAAATTCATTTTGAAATTTTGAAAAAACTGACTTCAGATTCGGATTCTGCAACCTCGATTTACTTTCGTCAACCTTTATAAAATATCGTTATTTTCTTGAAAAATGCTGTTTTTCTTGACAACCGATTTCAACCAATAACTGTATCTCCGGTTATCGTCACCGCTACATCCCTAGTTCTGACCGATTCCGGTCTCGGTTCCAATCGGTTCCAATCGGTTCCAATCGGTTCTGACCGGTTCCAGTCGGTTCCGGTTTCGGTTCCGACCGGTTCCTGTCGGTTCCGGTTTCGGTTCTTATCGGTTCCTACCGGTTCCGGTTTCGGTTCCAATCGATTCCACCGGTTCCGGTTCTTTGGAACCGGTAAAAACCGGAACCGTGCATCTCTATGGGGGGGGACTACAGGTCAATTTTTGGTCGCAAAATGAAAGTCGTGATCGCCGTTTGAATGATATATGTATCAACTCAGTTTTTGATGCTGATGTCGAAAATGAAGTTATTTTTAACTGAAGTACAGGCTTATTCGATAGAAACCTAGCGAACATTGCCGAAAATCTTTAAAAAATGCTGGTTCATGACCCTTATGACAAGAAGATTTTTGGTGGGCCAGATATTTTTCGGTTTAGAAAATATATCATTTTGTAGCTTTTGAAAAGGGCTATCAAAATGGAAGTATCAGATTTTTGGTACCTTCAATTTTGCTTTTGAAATCTTCGCCATAAGGTACAAACATATTGAATGTTTCCATAGTATCTACATGTCGTTAAAGCTTTTATATCCTTTAACCAAGTATTCAACTGGTGGTTTAAAGATGAAATTGAAGCCCAATCAAGCAGCTATTAAATGCACAATATAAGTAATATTCTATCAACTCTTTTTATTAAAGAAGAAAGTCCATTATAAAAGGGCTAACTCTTATAATAATGGGCCAAAATATATGAAATTGTGGAAAAGGTTTATTCATGAAAGCTTTGTGCGAACTCCATGAAACTTATAGCGATTACTAACCTCAACATCCTCTATCAATTGATATATAAATTAGTATAGTAAGGCAAGTAAATTACCAATGGGCCAATTCGGTATCTTAAGCGCCCCCGTCCTTTAGAAAGATATCTTGTTTTTATTTACGAGAAAAATAATGTAATATTACAATGATTATTTTTATCCATTATTCTACTTGTTCCTTGTCTATTTTATCGCTTGGAAATATGTTGCTGTGTTAGAATGAGTCTTCAATAATTTTCGTAATTCATTTCTATATATAAAGAGAAACAAAATGATAATATTAAATCCATATAAATATAAAACTTACGTTAATTCAGTAAGAACAATTGATGAAAAAAAATTGATTGAAAAACTGCAGTAGTATCTTTTGAATTGTCATGGAGAAAAAGACTTTAATGATGCTCTTTCAATGTTCTAGAATGCAAAAAAAACTATCAAAATAGAGAATAATGTTTGTGTTTTTCAGTTACATATACATCAGTTAAACGATTATTCAATTTAGTGAAACCAAAAATTTCAGTCGATTTCACGAATAAATTTCTTATATAAACACATGATGATGATGCTTTATCTTCTTCAGTTAAACAAATACAATGAAGTGCCTGGAAAACAATAAGTATTATTTGTCCATTTTTAATTAAAAAAAAATAATACATACACCCCAGAAGACTGAATCGGTAACAAGTAAATGGGAAAAAAAATTTCAATATTTCTTAATTTAATATTTTCAAGACGATGAATAATATCATATTGATCTTGAAACATCTTTTCAAAGTATACGACATATTCTTTAAAAAAAAAACAGAAATGTTGACCAAGTAAACGAAAAAAGTTCTTCATTTGTTCGTCGTTGTACATAATTAACAACAATTCTTTGACATAATTCGATCTGAAATTTCAATTCAATTAAAGTGTTTAAATGCTTCTCAAAGGAAAAAAACATTATTTCTTGTCTTCGGCGTAAATNTTAGCCTATAGCATGGTATATACCAATAAATCGAATGACGGTATTTCGACCTGAGATTTTGCCCACAGACAGGTCTATTTATGAGTAGAATACCCTGAAAATTGTAGTTGAAAAGAATGTTTCCTTCTCGAGATATTTAAGTCTCAAAAAACAAAAAATTCTAGCATCTTTTGTAGTATATGAGTCATTTTTGGGACTTAAATATCTCGGGAAGGAAACATTTTTTTCAGCTGAAATTTTCAGAATATTCTACTCATAAATAGACCTGCCTGTCGGCAAAAATCTCAGGTCGCAATACCGTCATTCGATTTATTGGTATATAACACGCCATAGGCTAAAATTCCACTAAAATGCCTATAACTTTGGACAGAAGGCCTAACGGGATTTAATATTTTGAGGTTTTTCATACTTCACGGGGATCTATCTTTTGCACAAAGTCCGAACTCAAAAGAGATTGGACAGTTGGCGATGCTCCCTCGTAAGTTATATTTGATTTTTTGAGATTGTTAATGCCAAGACTTTTGTTTTTTGAAAAAGCCATTTGTTCGAACGATAAAACAACAAAGGGAATGAATGAGACAATTATGACTGTTAATTAACTGTATCATCTTTTCGTTAATAAAGAACAATATTGAACTGAAACTTTGTGCAAACGTTGAAAGTATCTAGTTACAGATAAAAAGAAATTTCAGCTATATATCTTGCTCTTAATAAGAACTATGGCAATTTAAGTATATTCATAACACTCATTTCTAGTACCGATAGTGTATCCAATGGCATGCAATCAACTCGACTGAAAAAATGTATTCTTTTTTTTTCTTTTAGTTAACAGAAGGTACTGAGGTCTAGTACCTTTAGTAATTCTTTTTGTTTATTCTTCTTCTGCCAATCTTGAGACATAAAAGTTATTTTATTTTACGAGACTAGATTTTTTCAGGGGCATTGATCATAATTTTAACCAGTTCTGGCTTCTCTTCCGATTCAATTCTGAGAAATTTGTACAGTTTACCACTGATGCAATCGTAGATTGATTTCTACGATTTAAGATTAAGCAACACTTGAACAGCTTTCCAGCTAGCAACAAAAAAAATTCGCTTTCAGTGGTTCTAGTTTGATTTCATTTTTTTTTTCAGAACCGTCAGGCTCTAATAGAAGACAGGGATTTTCTCTCAATACCGGTATTGTTTTTCTGTCATTGTTGTCAAATCGAAGTATTTTGAAACAATGTTGGATTTATATATTTGAATAATGAAACTAGTATTATGTAGGATTTATTGAAATTTAATTAAAATTCGTTTTCGTTTTTCTTTATGTTTTTGATCTCTTCGTTGAAAGATAATTGTTACAAATAACGCAGTTGAGTTTTTTCTTCAAGGTGAATTACTTACGTCGCAACCAACACGTTATCAAATCATACAAATTGAAGTATTAGATGGACCACAAGTAGAAACTGTTTGTCGTACTGAAGATGTCAAAGATGATCAAGATGTAGTTCGTGATCGTTTACTTATAGATTACCGTTTTGTTTCAAATAATGATGATGATCAAACTGATATAAACAATAATAATAATCCTCCACGTTGTTTAATTGGGGGTAGAAAAAATATTCACAGTGCACTTGTCATAACACGTGATAAACGACGTATGTATACATGTTGTGAAATAAATGATAATAATGTTGAATTGTATGTTAATAAACCACATCCGGTTCATTATGCTACTCAACGTATATGGGCATTTGATCATCAATTATATGAAAATAAAGATCGGTAAATTTTATTTTAAAAAAATCTTATTTGTAAAATATTTCCATTTTTCCTAGCATATTCTCATTAAATTTAAGTGAGGATGAAAATTATCTTATGGCAGTTATATTTAAAGGTTTTAGAATCTTTTCATTTCGATCATATTTATGGAAAACATGTTTATTACCTGGCAGTGTACGTAATATAATGAGTGGTACTAAACGTTTAACATATACAGCAGCATTTTCACAAGATAATCGGTATGTTTTTATATGATTTCATTTTTATTTATCTCAATTGTTTAATAAATTCTTTTTCATTTAGTTATTGTATAGCATGTGTTAAATCAAGTGTTTATTTATTTGAAATAGAATGGGGTGATTTAGTAGCTTCATTTGATTCACATTTTGGTCGTATACTTGTTGTAAAATGTTTATCAACTGGTAGTGGTGGAAATAATTATGTTATAACAACTGGTATGGATAAAACAACAAAAGTATGGAATTTACAAAATGCAAAAGAAAAATCAATATCAATAGCACAATTAGATAAATCTATTGAAATGATGCATATATCAACAGAAACACGAATAATATTGGCACAATCACGTACACAATTATATTTATTTAATATGAGAAGTGGACTAATGATAGGACAATTATCTGTTAATCCACATGGATCAATTTATCAATGTTAGAAATAAAATTTTTATTTTTTATTAAAAATATGATTTCTTTTTCTTTCTCTTATTTTATATTTTAGGCACAGTTTTATGTACAAATGGTTTATTTGCAGCATCAGCTGAATCAAATAATTTTGTAATATATGATATTGAAGAACGAAAAACATCATTTATAACACCATTAAAAAATGTCGCTCAACTTCTTCTTCATTCAGCTGAAACAATGGTGAGAAGAAAAAAAAAAATATTTTCAATTATTCTATATGAAATATTTTTCTCTTTTTTAATTAGATTTTAGTTTTAACTACTGAAGTAGTTCCAACACAAGTTTCAAGTGCATCAAATAATGGACCGGTAAATACTAGTCCAAATGGTCAAACTGTTCGAGCTATTTCATATGGCATACCTGATGGTGATCTTATTTATGAAATCTTATCAAATATGAAACGTTCGAATCAACCAAAAAACGTTGCATGTACAACTGATGATACATATTTTGTATTTATTGAAGAGAAAAAAAATAGTGAAATACTTGCCTTATATGATCCCATGACTGGTGAACATGTACATAATATTAAATTAAATTATCCAGCTTATAAAGAAATTACTTTAATGGTTACAATACCAAAACAACCTTATCTTATTGGTTTAATTGATTCTGAGAAAGGAATTGTTATGAATGTTAGAGATAAAAAGGTGAATATTTAATTATATTATTAACCACAAAGACCTTTTGGACTTTTTAAATTACTTGAGATGAGAATAGATTGATATCATTTATGTATTTTTTACTCTTTGTTTAAAAATTTTCGTGAGCGCAACTTCCTATAAGGCTCAAATGTGAGAGTCACATGTATTCTTTAGTCTCATTATATTAATACAAAATACATAAAGTAAAAAAGTCTTTCACAGACTATAGGTGTTTTTCAAGATAATTGATCGCTAGAAAAAGCAATCTGTATAATTACCTAATTTTTATTCGCGTTCTATTTCAATAGGCAAATAAGCGTCTTGTACATGTTCATTACGTCTACAGCAGGTCTTAACGCATTTTTACAGAATTAACCCATTTTCCCCGATTCCAATATCATCGACTGAATTCATAACTGACAACGAGTCTGGATCAAATATAATCCATTGTATGTATAGCATTTTATTATAATTAATTAGTTTATCAGCAAATCGGATGATTACTATCTGGATTGGTAGGATACGGGTGTAGTTGTAGATGTAAATGTAAAGAAGAAAACATGCATTCCCATACTCTACCAATACAAATGGCAACCAATCGATTTATTAATAAACTAATTAATTATAGTAAAATGTTATATATAAAACGGATTATATTTGATTCAGATTCGTTTTCAGTTTTGAATTCATTCGATGAAAATGAAAATTACTCAAAAAAATAGAGCTGAAATTTTTTCTGTGATGCATTTTTTTACCTATCCTTAAAAAAGATTGTACTGGTAAATTTTAGCAGATTTTACAAAAAATTGTCACAAGTGAGAAAGTATGTTTCTTTTCATAGGACTTCAAATAGTTCAGTTCTTCTGAGTGACCAATACAAGATTTGTGATGATTAAGAGAAGCATGGATTCCAAAATGGTTTGTAGATGTAATTGAAAAACCTTCACTTCTATCGACTTAAGTGAGATGAAGCAATGACAGAACTTGAGACCATTTTTAGTCGTTGCGTCGTCCATATCGTCGAAGTAAAATGATCTAAGAACGAGTTTCCATGAAAGTTTCAGAAGTTTTAGTCAAGCTACTCTTGAGGAACTTTCGAAAACGTCCCGTTAAATGTAAAGAGATAAATTTTGTTTATTGAAACTAAAACTATCTTTCATTCTCCTTGTTTTTTCGCTAGATTAACAAGTTAACTATTTTTTTTTTGTTAAATTTTCTTCCGGATAGATTCATTTAACATTACCGAAATGGGGTGGTCAAATATCGTCCGATGGTAAATATGGTTTATATGCTCCAACACGTGGTGGTCTTGAAATATTTGAATTTCGAACTGGTAAAGTAGTTCGAACATTAATTGGCAAAGTAGCTGAAGGTGTATTTGAAGTATTAACATTTTTTACTCCAACAAATAATCATGTCATATATTATCATAAAGGTAAACGAACAATACGTGTATTTCGTACACAAGATGGTCGACAAATAGCTGATATGAAATGTCCAACCAAGGTTCGACAAGCAATTGGAACACATGATGGACGAGCATTAGTTGTTGGATATGAAGATGGAGCTGTACAAGTGTTTTTAATTGTTGATCATTTCGATGAATCAACTGTTGATTATTTAAAACGTTGGAGAAAACGTCAATTTCCAGGGAAATTAGAATCCATACGACAAGAAACTGCTGAAAAAAAAATCTGAATCAATAGTGACATGAATTATTTACCGAAATTTCTATCATATAACGGATTGAACTATCATGAGAACTTTGTGCTCTTTCCGAATCTAGATTTAGAAGGTTTTTATAGGATTCATGGGTGAAAATTTGACTATTTCATTTTTAAGATTGATTTCATGCTGTTTTTCAGTGATTTTGCTTATTACTTTCATGTCTTTATCGTAAAGAGACCTATTTCGCGTAATATGCGTTCTAGTAGTAATCTTTTGTGCAGTATACGAGATGAGACTATGCTCTCCAAAGAAAGTTAAGAACTAAGAGTCTCGCTGCTATCCTCTAGAAATGATCACGTTCATTTTGACAGTCTTGAAATAAAAAAATTGTGAAAACATTATTAGAGCTCTTATCAATATTCTCATTATTGATAGACGTCTTATACAAAACTCATAATTATAAAGACATGCTTGTTCTTTCTTTTGATCTATCTTAGGCATTTTATTATACACTTCAAAATCGTCCAAAATTTTATTTTCAGACTTTTGAACGATTCTCTCATAGCTTCTCATCTATGAGTCCCAAAAAGTTTCTGAACCTAGATTCTCAAAGAATAGAAAATTTTAAATTCGAATCTGATGTTTTTAAAACTTTGTTAACCCTCCTCCTAATCAGTTGAAAAATAAACGAACATATTGTCCAAAAATTTTCCATTCATCGAATACATCATATTTTTTCTGTCTCTATCCATTGTATCGATCGTTTCTGGTGTATGTTAACACATTTAATGGGAATGTTATGTTTGTTTTTATTGATAATAATCTTAATAATTTCACATCACTAAATTGATATTCTTCAATTCGATCTTTACTCTCAACCTATTACTCTTATGAGCTTCTTTATTAGTTCATCTCTACAAGAATTGCTATTTATTAACATTATCATCGATTTGATTGATCAATAATGAACGACTTTATTTTCCAAATCGCAACTATCTGCATATAAATATGCATCAACGAACTAAGAAAAACCAAAGACATTAGAAGAAACCAAAAAGGAGAATAGAAATACTTGAAAGAAAAAAAACGAAAAGATACATATTTATATGTATGTATCATTTCTACGATAGTAGGATAGAGTACAGAAAAAACAAAGAAATCTAAAAAATAAGCGAATGATCCTCAAACACCAATGTTTATAAATTTGAAGTACACTTCAAATACTGAAATTATACGACACATATTTTTCATAACAGTCTTATATCCAATCATAATAACAGTTGCTTATCATTGGAATTTTGGTTTTTACTTATCTAATTCATGTTATATTTTATGCTTTCAATCAATTTACTTAATGATTAAGTAGTTTACTTGTGTATTATTAATCAAACTTCATAATAAAATTTCATCAATGAACGAAATTCTATTAAGCATTCACATTAGTTACTGAGCAGATATAAATTTTACTTGAACAAAAAAAAGTCTACCAAATATTAAAATAATTTTACTTAGCAAAAAAATGATTTCTCTTCTTCTATACTAATATCCGATCCAACGGGTAAAAAATAATGCCTAAATCGAATAATTTTTCATATTCTTTTGAACTTTGAATGCTAGGAGGGACAGTGTACTTCAAGTGAAAAAATAAGGTGAAGTACAAAATTAGTTCACAGTATGTCAAAATAATTTCAAGCGCATTCAAATAATTTAAAATACTTGTCGACTTTACGTACACTGTTTTCTACTAGAATTCTCTGTATGTTTTATTTTTATTTTTTTTTTGTTTTAAAAAAATTATTAGAATATTTGTATAATAACATGCATGCGAAGAAGAATGGAAAAAATTGTCAACTTCTAAAGTAATCGAACATGTTTTTATTGTACAGACCCATGCCTGAAGTACAAATTTTGTATCAGACATATTTTCTGGAATGAGTTTCGGAAAGAGAAAAAGTAGAAAACCAAACACATCTACAAAAAAAAGCTCTTGAAACTTCACCATCGAACAAAATTACTTCTATTTCGATCGTTTCTTCTTATAAATCAGAAGAATATAGGAAAAATATGTCTAATGATAATTTTTGTAGCATAAAGAGTAATTTTTTCAATCGTCTCATTCAAAGTTATATTTTCTCTTGATTTTTATATCAAAACATTGCTTTTTGTGAAAAAAGATAGAATAATTTTGTTGTTCACATTACCGGTCAGTATGCTCTTCGTCGAAATTCGATGATTTGCACTTCGACAATACTCTTAGCTGATATCTGCAGAAATATATAAATAAATATTCAAAAAGAATGAATATAAGGAGTGA